ACGCCGGTACGGCCGGGCCGGAGCCAGGGGGCCCGCGGGGGCTTTACCCGCCGCGGGGGGTAGATGATTTGATTGTCCCATAGGCCCTACGTGGTTATAAAGGGACTGGAGGAAGCTGCACGTTCTCATCCCCGAGAGAACGTCTGAGCTGCGCCGGTGGCTCTTGTCTTTCTGGCAGGGTGGTTTCTTCAGCAGCTAAACCGGGGGCTGCACGCCTTAATTATGTGCTTTTGTGAGTAGTATGTGGGACTGCTTGTTCTTGGGTTGGTTTGTCATATGTGGCGCTTGATTCTCGACAGGTTCCCGCTACAGGATGTCGGGCGACAGCGACTGCACGAGGACGAGTCCGTCGGCCGGGTCCGTGTCAGACATGGAGCTCCTGCCCGCTCGCCCCAAGTACGTGTGCACGCTGTCCCCCGAGCTCGTCACCAAGGCCCGGGAGGAGCTCCAAGAGAAGCCCGAGTGGAGGCTGCGCGACGTGCAAGCGCTCCGAGACATGGTGTGTAAAGACTATCCTTACCTGGGAACCTGCCTGGACGATGCTTTTTTGCTAAGATTCCTCAGAGCCAGGAAATTCGACTACGATCGAGCACTTCAGCTCCTGGTGAACTACCACACCTGCAGGAGGAGTTGGCCTGAGGTCTTCAACAACTTGAAGCCGTCTGCAATAAAGCCAGTGCTGGAGTCTGGCTTTGTCACTGTGCTGCCTCACTTGGACCCTGAGGGACGTCATGTTGTCTGCATCCGCCCAGGTATTGAAATGCGGGAATGTCCTCGGTCTCCACCCTTGAGGAGTGTTTGGGCCAAAAATCTATTTCCTGCTCTCCTTTGAACAATGGTTACTTGTGCAGAGTATGTGGGTTTTCTCTGAAATTCGCAAAACTAGCTTTGCAGGGGACATGGTGGTGGTTAACTGATGTTATACCAGTTCCTTTTCCCGTTTTAGCAATTACTGTGGTTGAGTAAAAAACAAAATGCAGTAAGGTGGGTTGAGGACATTGTTAGGCAATTCAAGAAAATTTAATATGTAGTAATTCAAGTTGGAACAGGTCTGCTGTCCTCCAGTCAGAAGCTTATAATTTGCTTTGACAGTAAATGGAGAGGGAAGCCTCTGGCTTTGACTCCAGCGTAAACATTTTAATTTGCTTTTGGTGCTGCCAGGCTTGCTGCAAATTTGTTTTCATTCATTCTTCTCTTTTCCATTTACCTGCTTTCTTTCTGAGCTGAAGCACTTCTAATAATCCCTGCCGGGTGGAGAATGGGATTCTTAAAACCATAAGGAGTATTGAGCCTTTGCTCCTTGATGTAAACATGAGTTGCCATTTTTCTCTTGCTTAAAAAAGGCTGCTCTGAGGTAGGACTGTGGCTATTAAGACTAATTTTTAAGAGACCAGGAAAATAGAAAAATAAGGTTTTGGAATGTGTATTGCTAGCTTATATTTACTTTCCAACTTACCATCCATGTCTTGTAACCTCAGACAGATGGACACCCAGTAATTATCCGATTACTGAAAACATTCGTGCCATATACTTAACGTTAGAAAAACTCATTCAGTCCGAAGAGACCCAGGTGAATGGAATTGTAATCCTGGCAGACTACAATGGAGTCAGCTTATCTAAGGCGTCTCATTTTGGTCCTTTTGTAGCCAAAAAAGTGATTGGAATTCTTCAGGTAAGACCTGAACTGGTGGGAAAATAAGTTTTTGCATTGTAAATGACTGCTTCTGTATCTAGAGATATTTACTATGTTACCAGAAACTTAAGCATCGTGGCTTTCACTAGAAGAGTTAAAATACCTCTCTGCCCAACCAGTTTCTCAGATCTTGGCCAATGTGTTTGCTCCTTTTTTACTTCTATGTTCTTCCCATTTTTCTACATTTGAGTTAGAAATGCAAGCTTTGAGTTGGAGCAGAAGCAGCTTATCCTGCTAGCCCCACAGTGAGGAAGAGAGCAGTGAATTGCAGTTAAGGAAGAGGTTCCTTTTTGCTTGAATGATGACAAATGACTCTTAAATAGTTCCAGTCTGGGGATGTGTCTGTCTGAAATCTGTCATCACTGATTGGTGGGGAGTGCAAGGTCAGGTATTTTGCAGCAGTATCTTTCAAAAAGGTGCAATTTGAGGAGGACTTCCATCTTGTCCCTGAGAAGAGAGGCTGTTTCAACATCAGGGCAGCAAGGAAGGCCAGCAAAAGAAACACAGAAGCATCTCAGGATTTTTTGGAAAGAGGAAGAACAAACTAGAGGTGGTTACATGCCCAAGCAGAAGTGTACAAAATGGGACAGCAAAGGGCGTGGGGAGTAACCTGCTCAAAGTGGCAGGAAGAGCTGATGATGTTTATTGTTGTTCCACCATTCTGTCTGAAGGGCTGAGATGAGGAAAATTTCTCTTGAACGGGTTCTTCTTCCCATTACTTTTACTCTAGCTTTATTCTAGCCTGCGCTGATCATGTTTTTTTGGTTGTACCTTTGGGTACAACATATGGACAGATGGGGGAATCTGGAGTTACTTAGATGAGACTAGTGGGTTTACAAAAAGCTATGTAACAACTCATGTACACCTTTAGATTGTTCTAAATGTTTCATAAAACTTCTTGACCCCATATTTAATTTGCACAAATAAAGTAATGCATGTCCTGTTATTATCAATGGAAGCTGTTAACAGAAGCTGAACCTGGGTGAGGGACGTAACATGTTATACACTACGCTGCCCGCTTGCCCTAGCTGAGCTGCCTTTCCTGTACGGAGCTAAATTAACTTGCGCTCATAAGGAGAGAAGCACTGCTGCCCTACATGAATCCAGGCTTCAGTCTAAACATTGTCTGCGTGGACCTAGTTATGGAGGAAAGAAACCTCACTGGGCATTTGGGACCTTAACTGCTGATCCTGAACTGTTCTTGCTTTGGAAGAATGTTCCTCTAAGTAAATCTTTTCAGTAGACATCCCTTATCTAACTTTCGTTTTAAATTGGATTGCATACAAGCATGTTTTAGTTCTGGTACCAAATCCTGTAGTTGGAAATGTCGTTAGAATCAGCCTCCTCTAGCTCTGGGGATGTTTTATCTCCTCCTCAAAGGCCAGGATGGTACACATTGTAACTCTGCATCCTGCTTAGGGTTGGGAATAGCAGGAAGATAGAAACTGCCTAAGCAAGTGTTTAAGGGAGGATGAAGACCAACAAAAGAAATGAAGGGTTAATGGCAGCAGTATCTGTCCCAATTCAAAGTCAAATCTGTGTGCCAAACTTTCTTGTCTCATTTTTACACTTGCAGCTTTCCTTGGAGGGCCATTTCCTATCACAAGCTGCATTGCTGTTGTTGTACTGGTTTATGTTGGTGTCTCAGGTAGCCACCTGGGAGCCAGTGGGTTGTACTGACAGTCAGGCTTGGGAGAGTTTAAACATTAGAAAGATGGTAAATGTTTTAAAAGTTGTACTCTAAAAATTTCCTTTATCCTTCAGGATGGATTCCCCATTCGAATAAAAGCTGTTAACATAATAAATGAGCCTCGTATATTCAAAGGCATTTTTGCAATCATCAAGCCTTTTCTGAAGGAAAAGATAGCAAACCGGGTAAGGATTTGTATCATATTAATACTAATGCTAAGCTCCTTGCTTGGCACCTGCATGTAAAATCTGCCGAGAAAGCTCACAGCTGGGCAAAGCTTGGTCCCATTTACTTGATCTAACTGGCCCTTTTTGCCTCTCTGGATTTCTGTTGAGGAAATTCCCTGTGACAGAGAGACTACTTTGAATAATTTAGTATTGATGTAATATTAATATGGATCTTTAGTTTATATGTTACATATTCATTAATCCAATCTCTGGGATTGGGTTATCCTGCCACAATAGCACTGGTGTGTTTTAAAGGTGGCATAACCAGGAAATGCTATGTTGCTCT